TAAGAAAAAGTAATAAAATAATAATTTAGGGTAAAAGGCAATGATGTGGCCATGTTGACTAATATACACTTGTGCAAGTGGTGAAAGTTGATGGGCTGAAATCGCGCCAGGTGTCCTCTTGCAATTATTTTGGCTTTTTTAGTGCAAAAATCTTTGAAAAAATGTAATAAATAGTAGGAAAATCCTAAAAATGCCCCGAAAATTACTCCAGCCTCCTTGTGACGTTATAAACCTAGAGGAAGCTATTAATCATCCGTTTCGCAATGAAAAAATTCAAATTGTTTTACATAACTCACTTTCCCCTTAACCCTAAGTAGATATGTTTGTTCTTCAAAAACCTACTTCAACAAGCATCTCCCGTTAATGTTTGGAATTATTTTGTAAAATGCGTAACCATGAATCGGGGAATTTAGCAAGGGAGATGGAGTTTCAATGAGTTCGTAGCAATTTTCGGATCATTTTTCTAATTTTTGTGTATTTAGTTATGAATTTTGTAAGAAAAAGTAATAAAATAATAATTTAGGGTAAAAGGCAATGATGTGGTCATGTTGACTGACGTACACTTGTGCAAGTGGTGAAAGGTGATGGGCTGAGATTGCGCCAGGTATCCTCTTGCAATTATTTTGGCTTTTTTAGAGCAAAAATCTTTGAAAAAAGGTAATAAATAGTAGGAAAATCCTAAAAATGCCCCGAAAATTACTCCGGCCTCCTTGTGACGTTATGAAACTAGGGGAACCTATAAATCATCCGTTTCGCAATGAAAAAATCCAAATTGTTTTACATAACTCATTTTCCTCTTAACCCTAAGTATATATGTTTGTTCACTTTAACAAGTATATTTCCTTAATATTCGTTATATGACTTGTAATAATACAAGAATTGGTTTGCTTTCATATATAAGGATGTAAAATTATCTATTTTGTTGTAATAATGTACATATATATAATATATGCACACTGCTTTAAAGCTATCATTGCAATTGCGCCTAGAGCTTTGAACACGTCAGAGGTATTCAATAAGTTGTCCATATGCAACTGCACCTAGAGTTTTGAATATGTCAGATGTATTCAATAAGTTGTCCATATGACACCGCATTGGGAATCAGTAATATATTTTTTATCATGTCCAATCACTTAAAATAATGCCATACTTTTTATGAAAAAACTCACACCAATCAAGCAATTTTAAAATATTAGTGAATATTTGTCCTAGTCTATATGAGTGATTATATATTCACTCTGCATTTTTTTTCACAGTATATGTTAACTTTGAGAGGGATTCCACAAACATATAATATAAAGAAAGAAAGCAATAGTAGGAGATGAAACAATACAAAAAATAATATATAACTGGTACAAAATAATGCCATAACATTGTTTGGAGGGGTGTTTATTATGCTCACATCAAACTTGGTTGGTAAATCCATTCTATGGGGGGAGAGAGTTTCTGTGGAGGAGAGAGTTTCAGTAGATGGAGACAGATTTGGTGGAGAAGTGAGTTTTTTTGAAGGGAGAATTTCTATGAAGGGGGTGATAGTAATACCAATAAAAGGGTTCCCGCCAAAAAACATTTGGTTGACAATGTATAAATTAATTTTTGGTATGATACAATCTAAGTTTAATCCTAACTAGTTTGGTTAGTTTGGTTGGGTTCACTAACTAGATGTCACTTTCATTGAGTTTCTTTCAACCACTAACAGTGGTGTAAGGAGACTGTGAGGTTGACATGCTTGAAAAGCTAAACCTGACACCTATTTTTAAAAAATTGAAATAAAGTACATATGTTGACTACACACAAGCTTTGGTATGTTGGTCTATAAAGCTATGTTCCCTTTCTCAAACGAAATTGCATATGCAATCTTCATCCTCTAAAACAAATAGGATTATTCAAG